AAAATTAGCATCAGAAATGAAAAGAGAAACTCGATACCAGTTATTAGGAGGAAGGTGGAGTTTCAGCTCATAACAAGCGAAAGCTATTTATATAAGCATTTTACAGCATTTTCCCTATACAGCAAATTAGTGCTTGTATTTTTACTTGTATTGCAAATGTAAACCAACTTTAATAAAAGAATGAGAACTCGGAAACTGCATCACTTTGTTTGTAGTGGAAACACATGCTGCAGTTCTTTGCTTTAAACGTGCAAGTCATGAAGTTGGGGTCCCTGTGGTGTGTTATGATTGACGTCTAAAGACGAGTGGTATATATTGTCTTCCTTCTGTCAAAGTCATTAAGTGAAACCATGCATGATAACATATTCATTATTTGTCGTCGTAATAAATACCTGAATTTAGAATCCAGCCATGGAGGTCTTGAAGTCTTTCGGTCATTTCGTTTTTTTAACACAGTTCTATTTTACTGTCAGTCAAGATATGATTATAATTATACGAAATCCTGGTGATGGAGATCATTGGACTGATTTGGATCAGTTTAAACTTCCTGACTCGAAATGCAGTAGCGTCTACTGCGAAAACTGGAAAGCTTTTCCTCTTTCAAAGCCTTGCCATTGTAAATGTTCCGATTATCAGGCAGCCACGTTTGGTTTCTACTCTGGATCCTGGACATGTCTGGCTAACACTGAAGTCAGAAAACAAACAGATTTGTCAGTATGAATTTCCGCTCAGTTCGATATCAATAGATTCCATTTATGCGTCGAAACCTGCACTTTGACAGGGTTACACAAAAGGCCTCTATCAGCGAGGGTCTTAACTTGAAACTAAAAGAGATACTTATATTATTATGTGGTTCTTTCTTTGAAGGGTTTGACCAAAATATCAGTTTATCGAATTTGTGTGTACTCTAGTATTTAGTAAGCTTGTATTGGATTCAATATCTCATTTTCATAACCGACATGGGTGATTTGTTCTTAGAACAACAACGTCAAAAAATAAATTAAATTCCGGCCATGAATGCAAGGCCATGAATTCTGGTTTGAGGTTTGGGAAGGGAAACTTTTGTCTCATGACTGTCATACTTACCGTTTACAAGGCAACTGTAAATACAAGTTCCAATCTGAGCAAGATGGCTACCCGCTTAGGATCTTGGACCAAAGTAMACAMTACAACGTAATTCTGCCTTCAAGTGGATGTTCAGTTGACCAAACGAAATCTCGATACTTCAAATGTAATGGTAGTTCGGATGGGATCGATTCACAGTCGTTTAGCCAATGGTTTAACATCAAACACAGCGGAGTTTCATCCCCAATAAATGGCCATACATACGAAGTAAGTAAAAGTTCATAAAATAAGTACAGACTGATAACACCGTTACAAAACTGACAGAGTGTAACGAAAATCGTTTTAAATCTTCAACCACACTGTTCTAACACAGATTAAAAGACTTTGGGGATATAGTAGTGGTTTGGGGATGTGCATGTGCTAACCCGTTTTGTAGCAAATTCTTTTCGTTGGCTTTGTTTATGTACACCCACCCCCACTCACTTACTTAGGTAAAAAACTCGACTCTAATGAGTTAGAAGCCGGGGAAAGGAGGATTGTTAACGGCCAGCCTAGGGTTAGTTAGACGTTTGCCATAGTTTTATGTGGGTGGGAGAAAGAGCAAGATGACGTGATATAGGCGCGACGAGAGATATAGAAAACCTTTTCAGATTTTGAAGTTTGGCAAGGAATCAGTTAGCGATTATTAACTGCGCCTATCGTCAACTTCCTCGTGTAATGTAATTTCAAGAGATATATAACTAGCTAAAAACTAGTGTGAGCTGTATCGGTATGTCTAATGAAAGAGCTAGTAATGATAAAAGGGTAAATCTTACGCCTTTAAAAGACTGGCGTTTCGGACGCAAGTCCTTCGTCGGAGTAAAAAACTCCAACGAAGGACTAGCGTCCGAAACGTCAGAAACTTTTTTTCATCTTTTCACGGCGTATGATAATTTCAGAAAGTTTCATCTTTTCAACCATCTCGACTGCACTTGTTCATTCTTTAGGTTAAAATTGGTCCTGGTATTAGTGCTCACTTGCTGGGCAGGATAATAAGTCTGAATATAATTTGTCAACAAGAGTCTTGCCTCTTATTCAAGCTTAAAGGAACATTTCAGTGTGAGTTCTGCCAAAAAAAACTTTTTTACTCTTCTTTAAAAAAATTCGTAGCTTTAACTTTAACTTCGATCTAATTTCGTCGGCTTTAGGTGCTGAAAACGCCACCTCTATTATAACAAGTCCAAGTTCTGCAATACCTATAACAAACGTTTCTGTTGTAATACCAGCAACCGCCAAAACATTAGCTCCAAATGTAAGTAATGGACTATATGGATCACTTAACATGACCGGTGCATTAAACCAAAAGTTTATAGAGCTATAGCTACGAATATCTTTTTAGTTTCAGACTACAGCGAAACCAAATTTCGATGCAAAAGCAAGTGGAGTTTCGTCGACGGTTGTTAGTGTCGTGGTTACCTTGGCGATCATTGTTGTCATAGTGATTGTGATAGTTGCATACGTGTACCT